TTGCCCCTGCCTGCAGCTGGGGGCGGGCTGCCGGCCCTGGGGTGCTGTTTGTGGGGCCCCTGGCGGCCCCCCACAGCCAGCTGTGGGGGGCCCCCTTCGCCGGCCCACCCCTTCTCTGTGTCCCTGTACCCCTCCTCCTGCTTCTCCTCCGCCCTCCCCACCCGCAGCCCTGTTTCCAGAACCAGAAACAGAAAACACTGGACAGGCGGAGGAGGGAGGCGGCGGATGCCCTGTGCTCCCGAGGGCCACCTGCGGCTCCCCCACAATCTGTACTGCCCACGACGGGCCAGGGCCGAGGGAGGCCCAGCGGGAGGTGAGGCCAGTGCCGGCCTAACCGCCTGGGCTCTAGTCCTCGTGACAGCGCCGCGCTGGCGGGTGGCTGTGAGCGCCCGTTAGATAATAAAACACAACAGAGAAGCTCCTTTGCGCTCGAGGACACAGAGCGGGTAAGTGGCCGGCTGGGGGCCCAGGCCCGGATGTCCGGCTCCTACCCTCCCCGAGGGCTCTGGGCGCAACAGACGGGTCAGTAGCCAGAAGGAAGAGCGTCCGGGCATCGAGGGAGGCTGCCCGGGGCGACGCCTGCGTTGGGTCCCAGGACCCTCTGTCCCGTCAGGGTTCCTCCCGCCCTGTGCGCCTGGGCTGTGCGGGGCAGGCAGGACGCAGGAGGCAAGGGGGCCTCCGTGGCTCGAGCAAGGAGGCAGCCCGGCAGGCTAGGTCCACAAGCGACGAGCTGCTGACCCGCGACAGAGCCGGGCAGCTGGCGCTCTCAGGCCCGTTGCTCCCGGGCTCAGCTACAGGGCAGGGCCGACTCTTCTGGCCGTTTCTTGGCTGCTTCTTCCGAGCGGCTTTGCCGCGGTGCAGGCAGGCTCGCAGGGCCGCAGAGGCCTCCCGCAGCTGCCCACTGCCCCCGCAGAGGGCCTGCGAGCCCCTGGCCTCCCCAGCGAGACTCAGACCCACCAGGACGGTCCAGGCGTGGACTTCTCCCACTGGCTACCCCCGGTCACAGCCCAGCCCCAGGGCATCCGAGCTCGGGGGTCCCCAGAGGCGCGTGGGGGCCGTAGCTCCCCTTCCGGGGTGCCAGCCTCGTGGCGCCCAGCTGCCGGGCCCCGTCCCGCTCGGTCCCGCGTGGGCGGGAGGACGGGAAAAGGCTGTAGAAAGACCACAGGTTTCTGCCTGGTGAGAACACACACAGAACCCCAAGCGGTTCCAGGAAATCACGGGAGCTGTTGGAAAAAGCAAAGAGAAGGCGATGAGACCCTTGAAAACGAGATGGGATTAATGGGCTGAAACAGGACCATGAAATTAAGCTCATTAATATGAAGTCCATGCTCTGCAGTCCGCTTTGTGCTCTGCACCCAGGACTCGGGCCCACAGCGTGTGCCAGGGGGCGCGGGGGGACAGGCCGGGGGCAGCGCTTGGGGGGTGGGGGCGTCTCCATGGAGCCGCTGCTGCCCGCCGTGGAAGGTCCAGAGGATGGGGGCCGGCGCCCGCTCCCCCAGCTGGCCTTCCTCCGGCTGGGCACAGCGGCGGCCGGAAGACCGTGGCCGGCGTCGGCCGCGCTCCTGAGGCAGGTGAGGCGACTGGAGGCGGCAGAGAGCACGGTGGGGTGCTGTCGAGAGCGGAGACTGGCCGCTAGGGCACCTTCGGTGGACGTCGGGTTTTCGTTCAAAGTAAAGGAGCTTTTCAGGAAAGGGTGGGTCGACGTGAAGAGTGACCCTGAGTACGGCCAGAGCCAGTGGGCGGCGGGGGGCCGTGCGGGCCTCCTGGGAAGGGCTGCCGGGTGCCCTGAGGCTGGGTGCGGCCCGGTGCCCTGCGCCACGCAGGCTGACTCAGCTGTCCCTTGTCTGCACGCCCCAGGGGCGGACGCCCGCAGGTGGCCTGGCGGCCGGCGGCCAGCAGCTGAGCCCGGGTCAGCCCAGGGCCGCCCCGCTCACCCCGGGCCTCTCCTCCGCCCACCCCGGCCGCCCGGGTCTCCCTCTGTGGACTAGTATCTGCTGACAGCCTCTGCCGGCCGCCGGGTCACCTCCTTGACCGGCGGCCGGGGCCTCCCGGGGCCAGCGCCACCGGCTCCCCTCGGGAAAGATGTCCCCGTTTCTCACCTGTCAGCAGCAGCCCGGGCCCCCTGCAGCTGGCCGGGGCACGCCGGCCCGATGGGCTGCAGGACCGTCCCTGCGGGGCGGGCTGAGGCTCGCAGCGAGGAGCGGCTGCGCCCCGACAGGAGGCAGCCAGCGCCGCCGGCCCTGTCTAGACAGCCGGTGCCCGCCGCGCCGCGTGCGTGTGCGTGTGTGTTAATTACCCTGGAATGTCTGCTCCGCCGTCACCGTGGAAATGTGGGTCAGCGCAGGAGGCGTGTGGTCCCCAGGCCGCGCACGCGCGCTCCCGGCCCCGGGGCGGCCGCAGGAGGACGTGAGGCCCGCGGACGGGCTCTCCCTGCGCCCTGGGCGCCCCGGCTCGCTCACCCCCCAGTCTCCGCGTGTGGCCTCCTGTCCCTGGGCCAGGACCCGTGTCCCACCGTGCGTCACGCAGACCCCAGAGCTTCCCGAGCCAGGACGTGTGTCCACGCCGTGTGCCCTGTGCTGCGCCTCGCACCCTGGCACCGGCCGGCGGGGGCCTGTCTCCCCAGAACCTCACGTTTCACCCCCCTCGGACATTTTACAGACAAGGAAACGGGGCTCAGAAAACCCCCGGCTGCGAAGAGGCCCGGAAGCTGGCGACACGCGGCCTCCCAGGGCCCCTGCCCGGGAGCTCGGCCGCCCGCCCACAGCCCGGACAGGGAGGAGCCCGCGGTGCAGGTGCCTCCCGCCCGAGGGGCCAGCCCAGGCCCGCTCTCCCTCAGGGCGCGGCGGTCTGGCTGGAGAGGCCCCGTTGTGCCCGAGGGGCCCCTGTGAGCGTAACCCCCTGCCCCGGGGGGAGACATCTGTTCTCAGCTCACCGTCCTCCCTCCTTGCCCAGGTTAAAAAGCCTCAGCGGAGCTGGCAGGCTCCTGCCTGTGGGGCAGCACGGAGCCCTGGGGGTGTTCACACCCCAGAGTAAGCTTCAGAGGCCCAGACAGCGGAGTCCTGAGCAGAAGTCCTGAGAAGTGGCTCACCGGGGGCTGACCACCATGTGACAGTCATTCTGGTCTGTTCCTTTACACTGGTCTGTCTCTGCCTGCAAGCAGAACAGCTGGGAGGAAATAATCCTTTTCCGTGGGGCCAAGAGCACCCAACAAGGGACCGACCCCGACCTAACCCTATCCAACTCATGCCAACTCAGTCAGCCCAGCCCAGCTCAGCCCAGCGCAGCCGGGTCATCGCAAGCCCAGCCCGGCCCCGCCCGGCCCCGCCAGCCCAGCGCACTGGCCACAGTCATTCACCAGAACACACAGCAGGTCCGAGGCAGACGGATCCCAGCTGAATCCTCCGCCCTCTCACTTCCAGGGGTGCGACGTGGGGTACGTTGCTCCCCTCACCTGCACGATGGACATGAAGGCCCCCCGGCCGGCAGGTGAGGCTCACGGCCTGGCAGGTGTCTCTGCGGGACGCCCTCACGCCCGCCCCGCTGAGAGCACAGGGATTTCTCCAGAAAAGCGGAGAGGCGCCGGTCACCAGGTCTCCCTGGCCCTCGGTGCCACTCCGAGGAGAGCTGGGCAAGTAGGTTCTTTCCAGAAAAGTTTCCCGGCAGGCGCGAGTGACCTCTCAGGCAGACTCCGCACGGCCGCTCCGTGTCTGCTCGCAGACAGACGCCGGGGGCACCCCGCACACGGCCCTGCGCTGCCTGGACGGAGGTCCCCGGACCCCGCTGTCGCCGCCCAGACACTAGAGCAGGGGCTGCCTGCGC